TATAGATGGTCAACTTTTATTATCGATTGAGCTAGTAAGTTATGTGAACTAATAGATATAACATTACGATAATATATATGACCATTAATCAAAGGACTATTAGAATACTGGGTTTACAAAAATAAAAACCGATTGAGAGAGGTTAAGGTGTTAGCAATAATAGGTTGCGTTTCTTTAGTTGGGCTCACCAATGTAGAACTTATGGTCTACTATGATATTAGTACTGCTCTAATAATAGACCTAACCCTAAACTTGTAGATTTGTCATGATACGACTGCCTAATCTATAAGATCTTACGTGGAAGTCACACCATCGACTACACCAACTCACTGTATCGTATCAATTACCAATACATGATGTAGAACAAGGTTAGGCTAGAGAAAGAACAATATATTTAATATGAAAAGAAGATATAAGGTAACATTCAGCAGAGACCACGCCTGCATGGCCGAGCCATGCCGTTCGATCAACTCAAGTCTATTCAATTCATTATTCGCGCCTTCTCCATCGTTAGGTATTTCTTCGCGTTAAATATTGAATACCTATTTTCCGAGTAATCTCGTATTCAGTTTTGAGGATAGTGTGTTTATGGTCCAATGCCACTACAAAGTCATCAACATGCACATGTGCGAAGTTGATACCCCATAAAACTCCATCGATGAATCTCTGGAATGTTTGTACAGCGTTTCTTGAGCCGAAAAGCATGTGCAGATCTGCGTAGAGATCAAAAGGTGTGATGATGATTTTCAAGCCTATCATGTGGTCAACTTCGTTTTTAGCCAACTTCAGCTTTTCGGGAGATTTATGAGGCTCTACTTATATCACCAGTACATTTGTAGAAATGTACTACGAATTGAAATGACACAAAACTATTCTTTTTAGAAAAAATGATCAATATAAACTCTCAGAAATGCTGTAGTATTTATATACACTGTTTATCCACACTTTAAAACTCATGTGACTACATAAAATTTAAGACTCTAATAAGTTAGGACATTTACGATTCGAACAGCATCAAAATAGATAAACATCAAAGTAAAGAAACGATATATAAAGTTTCAAAAAGGAACAGTCACAGTCTTCAATCAGGTGTGCCAGATCACGTCGGACTCATCACTAAACGTATCACAGGTCGTTTGCGTCGTACAATCACTAGAGCGGCCTGCTTGAATATCTGGGCTACCTGTTCCTCCGATCTACATATTTCATCAAGTTATCTGTTTTGTTGCTTGTTTTAGTTCATCATTATGTCCATTGTGCACACAATCTATTCAGGCGCGTTTATGAAAAGTTTACAACCTTTCGCTATACGTGATACAAAAAGGTACAATCATCGACATCATGGTGGCTGGCAATATGCATTGAAACGAACGAACATTAATCAAATGTGGATTACCGAACTCCTAACATCTAACCGGTCATCATTCAAAACTTATCGTCACAATAGATCAAGGTATAAGAAAAGGAAACTTGTTGAAATACTTTATGCTGAGAATTCTATGTTGTACCAAAAACATAATGTTGAATAAAGCTTCTAATGATATAATATAATATAATATTTGGATACGTCGAAAGGGTATGCACAATGAGTACTGACCGCAAAGCGTGACTTCAAAGTTGGCTGGTTGTTCACGATATTCCCGCATAACTTGAGTTGGCCCCCAATCATTCAACACAGATCACATACGTCGGTAATCTACGAGTGAAACTAATTCAGTCAGCATCAAATGTCGAAGACTTACGGAACTATCAGTAAGAGTAGGTACAAGGAAGAGTGTACGACCACCACCGCTTGAGTCAGTTCATGACATGTGTATTGGCTGTCCTTGATACTGACGAGTATCGGCGAACTGTTCGATATTCAGTGGCTTGATTGCGGATGATTTTGCTAGGGCACAGTGACCCCACAATAATGTCGATGATAAAGAACTGCATATAAACGACTAGCTTTTGTCTGAAAAAGACAATAAGCTGTTATAAAATATTCAAAGAACCGCAACATAGTAGTTACCTCAAACAGAAAGACTCTCATATGGAGATCGACTGGTTAAACTGGACCTGATTCCATTTTCACAAAAAGGAACTAGAAGTGACATGATGAAAGCTTTTAAATTACCTAGCGAATAATTTGCATTTGACATATTCTTACTTTTTGTCTCTTGCATTACAGAGAATTTGCGAGGAAACCCTAAATATATTCACACTAAAAACAAATTACTTGTCAGTTGACTATAAACTTTAACCTTGGATCATCGACAAAAGGAATTAATTACCGCAACACGTGACTGATCGTAACAGTGTTTCGTAGGGTTCCGAAACATCACTCGTATACATGCTAGGTGTTACGTACCTATTGAATTCACGCGGTAGTGCCTTGACTAATGCGAGGAATTATGCACGTGTGTCGATCACGCCGTGCTCGTAGGAGTCGGTTTCTGCGTAGCAGAACCAGGCTTTGGTGTTGTCTGGCCAGAAGGGCATTAGTTGGAACGAAGGTGGGAACATAATCTCTAGCTTAAGTACCTTGACTTTCTGTTCAGTCATGGTGAAATATCGAGTACGAGAATGAACGATTAAGAAATACGTATATCCAAATGTACGGAAAAAAGGTATAACAGTGTATAAAAAACTAAAATAACGCAATGATACATAAAATCCCAAAAAGGAACAAACTCACAGTTTGCAGTCAGGTGTGCCAGGTCACGTCGGGTTCATCACTAAAGATGTCACATGAATTCGGAGTTTGACAACGCCTAAACCAGTGACACCTATTATGAAGCGTACCCACCAAGTGAAATCAACGGACAGAAGCGAGTAGGCTCGAAGATATATTTCATAGGCTATCAATATAACGAGGATCGTCTGGTCTTATTTGGTTAGCGATTGCAGGGAATGTTGAGCACGGCGTTCCCATTCGTGATCTGGTGTGGATGTATCCCCAAACGCCATCAGCTAGGTGAGTCCATTAAAACTAATGTGGTCAGCATCCAATGTCGAAAATTTACGGAGCTATTTATTTTGAGGATTTATTTACCGCTACGAGAGTAACTAGAGGTGATATGATGAACGTTTTTAAGTTACTTAGCGAATAATTTGCATTTGATATACTGTTACTTTTTGTCTTTTCCATAACAGAGAATTTGCGAGGACACTCTAAAAATATTCACACTCAAAACAAATTACTTGTCAGTTGACTATAAACTGGATTGATTAGGCTTCAAGTTCGCTAGACTACCTAGTCTGTACACTTTTAGTAAGGTGACTCCGGGGATATTTTGAGTCATGAGTTGATTAGGTAGCTTTTTTATCAGCACAATGTCATGCTGAAAACGAGTTTTTGGTTCAGAGCTTCCACTCTCCTTCATTCTATGAAAATTAACTAATCTGTCACTATGATCAGCCTTCGATTTCTCGACTTTATGACGGCAGGATTCCCTTTTATATCGTTATGTTCTGTCTTCCTTACAACATATGCCCATTCGTCGATACTGCTAGGAGAAGCAACCACAGTTGCGTCGAACACACTGTGGGATTCCAGAATGTTGTCGACGATTTGGGAGGTCAGGATATGTTTCCCGCTAGAAATCGATCGAGCATTGCGATTGCGGCTTCTAGGCGCTTCCTGCTGGATACCATTTGGAAGACGGGGTACAGAAGAAACTTGTCCCACCAACTTGTTAGTCGCTCGTGAAAGCTGATTCGCTCTTAAGGACCCAAAGCCTACATTGATTTCAGAAAAGCTTTTGTCAAAGTTCCACACAACCGGCTGTTCTATAAGCTAAGAAATGTCGGAATTGAAGGCAGTCTACTGATGTGGATAAAAGACTTCCTAGTTGGGTGCCAACAAAGAGTACGGGTAAACTCAAAGTTATCTAGCTGGGAAACTATGCTTAGTGCAGTACTCCAGGGTACAGTCTTGGGGCCAGTGTTATTCCTCTTGTATGTAAATAACCTTCCTCGTCTCCTATCATCATCGGTTTTGCTGTATGCTGACGATGTCAAAATACGGAGAACGATACGATGTAAGGGTGATAGCTTAGAACTCCAAAACGACCTGAAGAAATGATCTGAATGGTTTCAAACCTGGCAGTTGCCGATAGATACTTCCAAGTGTGTTGTGATGCATATCGGTCATCAAGGTACGGACACATACACCATGAATAACACTGAGCTACATGTTGTTCAGATACATAATGACTTAGGAGTCATCGTTAGCCAAGACTAAAAGACTACTGCACACTGTTGTGCAATAGCCGCTAAAGGTTTTAGAACCTTATGGTCAATACCTAGGGCTTTTGGTCATGTCGACGCTAAAAAGTTTTTGAATTTGTGTACAGTGTTCGTACGTCCTAAACTTGAGTACTGCATACGAGCGGCTAGCTCCTGCTTAAAAAAGACAGTGAGCTTTTGGAAAAGGTTCAGAAAACAGAAACTAAGTTGATTCCCGGAATAGCGAAGCTTCCGTATGATGCTCGACTGGCCAAGCTGAACCTTTTCCCGTTGTCATACCGTAGAACTAGAGGTGACTTGATTACACTTTTCAAATTGCTCAGTGATAAATTTGCACCTGATGTGCCCTCATTTTTCTTGACTTCCAAAACAGAGAATTTACGAGGACACTCCAAAAGCGTTCACAAGTCCAGAACAAATTACTTGTCAGCTGACTATCGACTTTCACATCGAATCATCAACGAGTGGAATTCATTACCTCAGCATGTGATTGAGGCTCCATCGGTCGACCCTTTCGAAAGAAAGTTGGATCAACTGAGAGATCATCATTGCCAGGACTAACACAAGCCACCAAGCCTCCTGTCCTTTCCAAACGGAAACGGAAACTAAAACTAACCTTGGATCATCGACAATAAGAACTAGTTACCGTAACACGTGACTGAAGCCCCATCTGTCGACTCCTTCAAAAGAAATTGAGATCAACTGAGATAACACAATTAGCAGGATTAACACAGGCCTCCTGTCTTCTCCAATGTGGGTCAGTTGTCCAACTGAAGGTCATGGCGCGGTGTGTGACTACCATGTCTTGCGCGCTAAAAATGGTATCTCCCAAATCACTCGGTCTCATAGGTATCTAATTATAGGGTCCAAAGATGTTCTAGCCTTTTCAGTAACTGAAAGCGATTCTATCCGCCTAGTGTTGCACAGTGGGACTATGACTTACGAGATTTGAGTTGGCCGTTGGATTGTTGCACGAATTTCACTTATCTGTTTGCTTATATATAATTTTGGCATTATTGCTGATGTCATTTCGTAATAATAACCTTATATTTGAGTACTAAATCTTTCCAGCTGGAAATCCCAATCATGTTTCTCCACTAATGTATAACCCACGTTTGACCTTAGCAAGTGACCGAGTTTCCCCTAGGTCATTTTAACATCGCTCACAGGCTGTCCACAAATTACAGTCTCACCCACTGAGCATAATGCAGACAACAGATTGGCGCTAACATGGTCCTAAATAGTGGTGTCGTAACGTTCCTCCTCACTCCAGTGGTTTTTTCTACTCATAGCGTAACCCTGATATTCATCTCAAGAGGTATTTGCCTACATACGTCGCTAGCTGTGAACCTCCAAAGGACTTTGTCTCGGGTTTTCCTTTCCAATTGTTACTCAGTAGCACTACTACACAGAGACAATAATCCCCCACTTCGTCAAGAGAACCGACATAGGTTGAGCTTACATGCTACTCTGTGTCATACTTTAGGTTCGTGCTTCTTTCCTTGCTAATATTGAAGCTTATTTCTGCGAAATTTTCTTCTACACTAGCTGTATTCGTTCTTGTTTACCGCTGTGTATAGGACAGGAAGACCGATTCATCTGCAGAATTAAAATCACCCAGCTACGCCCTCAGTCCTCATTGTATTCCGTGCTTATCATGAATTGTGGTCTTCATATTCTAGTCGGCGACTAGCACAAAGAGAACAGGTGAGAGTAGGCAATCTTATCTAAAACAAGTGTACGCTGAGAATGCATCAGTGAGCTGTCCTCCATACACGATTTTCCACTGAAGGCTCATAGGAGTTCCGTATGGCGATGACTGTCTCAGGTACTCCTTAGTGGTTTCACCTGGTATGCTCTCTGGTTATGGTACTTTGGCATTACTGGTTTATATGGTTGCCTTGCTAATATCTCTTACTGTTGGTGTAGCAATATTTGTAGGGAGGTCTGTGTACTGCTTTTCTTTCCCCACTGACTTTAATAGTATCATGTAGTTCTTGCATAATCCCTTCTTTTGCAAACTTTTCTGCTGTCGTTCTCAGGTCTCCTACATATTTCCGCTTGTCAGCTCTGATGTTCTTCACTAGTTTGAATAAAGCCAAAACAACAATTGAGGCAGAATATGAATTCATTATATTTTGTGGTTTAACATCAACTGCTTACAACCATATATGTAGTAAAAGTTGGCATTAAAGTATGATATAATGTGAAACATTAGACTTTGATGACGAAAAGAATTAAAATGACAAGTATTGCCAATACTATATATATATATATATATATATATATATATATATATATATATATATATATCTGTACAATGACAGGTGTGAGTTCATTGGAATTCAAAATAATTGGGGGAGGGAATGAGCAGCAATTAAATGAGGTCCGGAAGGGTTTAAATATAATTACAGGAATTAGAAGTTAATAAGGCAGGTTGCGTTATAATTGAACAGGATTTGAAGAGTTTACACAGGAGCATCAAGTAAATAAAGACTACACGAATAAACGGATAATTTTGGTTTACATAAAATAAGAGTTAGTTTAGCGAAGACCACATAACAAAATAAACGCCAATAAAATAATGACAATAAAAGAAATATTTTACCATGGTAGAAATAAGTTGAATATTGTCTTATTCTGGATACACAAGTCAGGTTTTAATTTTTTTATTGTTGGTGCTTCGGGAAACTGGAGAGACTACGTGTTTTTTTCTGCTAACGATTTGAAACGATTGTGGAATATTGGTTGTATGCTCGGTATGAATTATATGACGAGCTATTACACTGTTTAGAGTTGTTGCTCCTATTGACTACCTAGTTTCCTAATATAGTTACATCAGTGACCAAATATTTCAGCATGCTGTATTTGACTTCGAAAATCCGAAACTTACCACATGTCCTCAAAATGTACCTAGCTACTCAGATATACAATCGTCCCAATAGTCGAACTAACGTGTTCCTACAGTATATTGATCGACACAGGTTCATATCTCGTGAAACTTAAGGTTTCCCATTGTTATGTACACAGATTCGCTCTAACTAGGGAACGCTAGGCACGCATTATCCCGATGACACATCTTTCACGAGCTACACAAACCCACATCAAGAAACTGTACATTCTTCTTAGATAGTATCTGCGACCGGACTTGAGACTTTGTCACACCTAAAAAATATTTGTTGCAAGTGATTAGTTTATTCACAGATCTCCCTTAACCACAACTAATTTCAGTTATCGGTGACGAAATACTGAATGGAAAAGCGAAAGATTCCAATTCACGACAAGTGTGCCTCACTGCCCCGCTTTTTGGTGTACGACTTCGGAAGGTAACTTAAGTGCACAAGATAACACCCTAATGTAGATTTCTGTTATTCCCGATGACTCAGATGCGATCGCAGAGGAAGTTCGCGACTATATGAACCGTTACGACTTCGTAATAACATCGGGGGGCATAGGTTCTACTCACGATGATGTGACATATGAAGGTGTTGCAAAGGCACTAAATGAAAAGATTATCATTCATCCAAAGTTCTTACAAACTCTCAGGAGACTATCAGAACCGAACATGGTTTCCTCTTCAGACCCCATAACCAAACTTGCCAAAATACCGGAGTCATCTGAATTACTATATGCAACAGGAATCCAGATGGATAGTGAAAGCTCTTATCCTATTGTCAAAGTGAAAAATATCTTCATTTTACCAGGAGTTCCATGCTTATTTAATATGGCACTAGAGATAATTAAGGTAAGTTTGGTTCTGTTTTATAAATTTATTTTGAATGCACTAGACTCTCTCGAACCTAAGGAAAAGCCAGATCTACGTATAATATAAGCCGCAGCTCTCACACCGGACTGCAGCGACGTGATCATTGGCTTGCCACGTATATAATCTGCAATAAATCCGGCGGCAAAGGAATCACCAGCTCCATTTGTATCTACCATTTCTTCGTCTTTCAACTGCTCTACAACATATTGATGAACGGTAGGGTCATTAGAATCCGTATATATTATGGGATCTTTCCCTTGTGTTACAATGACCAATCGTTTACGCTTTTTTCCATCAACAAATGGTAAGTCAGCTATATACCTGGCTGCTGCATGAATGGTTTTATCAGTAAGACTGTGAGCATTTCCAAACGCCGCGGCTTCAGACTCATTCCCAATTACCACTCCTGAGTAGGATATCATTTCATTTACTTCTTTAGTATTAAACTGAGGTAGGAAAGCAGCACTGAGATTGAAACAGAACAACTTTCCATTTTCTCCAGTCGAGTTTAAAGCTGTAATATAAAATGGCGCTATTTATGTGTGGTTCTGTTATTATTCAATATTCGTAGACCTAATTCTGATAAGAAAGGAAAGCGAGTAGTTGATTGGAGTGTGAGAGACCTCTAAAACGGACAATCTTCAATCGTGTATTACATTTGTGCGTGATTATTATCCTGTTATCATTGTATATACAAGCATATTTTTAAAGAAGCCATTCTACCGCATAACTCTCGTCTTTTGATATCACTTTAATTGGTGGGGGATACATCATCAATTTAATCTTGTGAGTAGCTATAACTCGGCTAAACTGTATCATAAATGCAAAACGTTGCTCCGAGTCTGGTATGCATCACCGCTTGAACTAATGATGGTGAGTGAAGTAGTTGAGTTTGTCGACCACTTTACTTACCTTTAAAGTCACATCAGCTCTGATGAGTCGGTATCTGACAAAATCACAAATGCGTTTCTGAACCTACCACTTGTGGTGTGGACGGGATGTCCATCTGCCAAGTCAACTATGAATTTACTGCTCGACACTTCGTTATGTTCTACTTAATGGTTGTGAAAGATATCCACCAAGAATAGACGACATTGAACAATACCAAGATGTTTGGGTTGCGTTTCTGACCCTTTAAATTCAAGTTGTTACTGCAGGACTGGTCTGCGTCAACACCTGAACTGATGATAGGGAGTGAAGTAGTCGAAGGTACTGATAACTTCACTTATCTTGGGAGTCTGGTCAGCCCTAACGTGCTGACGAAATTTCTGCACGGATTCAAGCTCATTTGGCTTTTGCTTAATTACGTCACCTATAGCGGAAAAGAGATATTCGTCTATCAATTAAGGGACAAGTATATAGCGCAGCAGTTCGTTCTGTTCTAATTTTACGGCTGCTAAACGTGGCCATTAAAAGTAGAAGATACTCGTAAGCTACTATCGTAACCGATGGTTGGAGACTGTGTGACATGGCTCAGAACCGATCACGATAGTCTAGGTGTATACACTCTTTCCCCCCCTTAAATCGGGAGACTGAAATTGCTTTTTGCCTTTCTCTTCTCAAATTTACTTCACTGGGTTATACTCTTTGAAATAACATCTTCAAGTTTTAGTCTTTCCGATTACTACTCATACTCTTACTACTTCTACCACTATGGGATTTGAATAGACAATTGTATCTCCTTGCTAATGTGGTATGTCAACTTGAGCTGATGTACGTACGTACCAAGTTTTTGCTGACTGACTATGTCCTTATGCACAATCTTTTATATATTACTATCATTGAAATAACTACTATGAATTCGATTATCATCTTGTTGCGCTAATGAAGTGTGGCAACTTGAACCGACTTATGTATGTGCCTGGTCCTACCTTGTAACTGACTGATATTCATAGGTTGCTTCAAAGTACCGCTCATATATGTTGGAACGACTGAGTAATGTTCAGGTTAGACATGGTAGCAAACCGATTGATGTGGCAGTGAATCTTTCTCGACAGATAGTTGGTATGTGCATTATGTATGGCCAGCCACTTTCAGCTTAACAAGTGTAGGGGCAAACTGGAAGAAGTTTAGGGATGGCCAAACCCAAATGCTGCACAAATCTGTTATAACCGAGCGAGTACTGTTCTAGGTTTGTTTGTCTGTTAAATGCCCAAAGAATTGTATTCTCCTGCTTGTAACCCTTTTCATGATGCATAAACCGTTATTATATATTGTAATTCCTAATATACTGTTAATTTATTACAAACCTATTGCTCACTTGTCCTCCACCAACGAGATAGTCGTACCGACAGTGTAATTTCTTAATTATGTTGACATGTCGTCAAGATTTTACTCCACATCATTCCATTATTTTTGAGTCATGAATAAACTGATAATAATAGAAACTGGCTGCTAACCTTTCTCTAGGAATAAAGACAAGAAAAACAGAAAAAACCTGAGTATAGCGGGAGAATGTGAGTTTATCTTACGTCGGCTCGAAGTTAACAGTGCAGGTCAGAAGTCCAGTTGGTCGAGTATAGGATAGTAAGCTATAAATGGAATAGTAGAAGCTAGATCGAGAAAACCATAGTCCGAATTCTAACTGGACAATACAACACGTGAAATCAGTTAGTGTTCTCGGATGACAACACTATGAAGTCATTGAAAATTGGACTGAGCCGTGTAAGTAGGGGCAGAACACGTAATTGTGGTCCACACGACCATCGTAATGTGCTTGGAGACGTTAAATGACAAGGCTCATAATCGGTCACATTGTTACAGAAGCATTCCCTGTATTTCTTCATATTATGAGTTCCAAAATCACACTGCTTCCCTTTTTTCTACATGTTTCCTACTACCACTGATACTATTACTACTTTGGGATCTGCATGGAAAGTTCTGTCGCGATGTGCTAGTGTACAATCCGTTTGCATAATCATAGAATCTTAATTCGTAATTCATTTGACCGACTAACACTGATGTATACAATGATTTAGGGGAACTGAAATTGATCAGGTATACTTTATAATAGTTGCTTAACCAACCGTCATACAAGTGCATCAGTAAAAAAATACCTATTAGTTTCACCAATCATAATATTCACTTAACTCTTATCTAGTAATGGCCAATTCAGTCTTCCAGTTCGTATCCTACAAGCAAGAAACACCATCCTGAGCAATAATCAATAACGGTTAAATACTGAACTTTCTTGTAACAAACTTTATTCATTGAATTTATTTCAGTTAGTCGTAGGATGTAACCCATTAATGTACAGATGTATGCAAAAGCTAAGCCACTCAATCTGTGATGCCTGCTCACACTGATCGGCTGATAAAACCTGAGTTCAAATTCGGGATCTACTGGGAGATGCACGCATGTTCTAATTTCAATCCAACGATCCGTATAGTAAATGGTGATACAACTGGATAACGTGGAGCTGTCTAACGAGACTGTAGAAAGCATTTGACTTTCAATACAGATAGTATTGTTAAACTTAACGGACTTATCAACCCTTCTCTGCTGATGATTTAAAATATAATTCTAGTTTCCTTTGATTTATTTGACTATACTTCATTCTCTCATTTGTGTTGCACATTTATTTTGGTGCCCACTTGGGTCAATATTTGTGTTTAATGATTAAGTAGGTTTAGACTATATACAATCATATAATTCTAATTGATCATTTATAGCGATAATTTTGAGTAAAAAATAATACAGTAACATGTATTCAAAGAAGGAACGAATTGAGCGAAATTTCTTTTTATTTAGTTCTTCATCATGGCTCTACACTAATATATATATGATTGACAATAACGATATAATACTCATCGAGTGGATACGTCATGTAATAATTACATAATGGCATTAAAATTAACATTGAGTAATTGGAAGAAAGAGGATTATTAATATTCAAAGTAATTATTAAATCAAGAAGTTGCTACGTTGAGTAATATATGAAAAAGAGAAGGAACAGAATTTTATAATGGATGGTCAATAGAATAGTGGTTACGTAAGAATCAAAAGATGAATGTTGAGGAAATATAAAGTTCAAAAATGACAGAAATTTTTTAAACAAAAAAGCGAGTGGAAGAAGTATGGAAAATAGTTCTGTTGAGGGAAATCTTATATCGATGGCCAAGGCAACGAAATTGGCTGTATGAATCTCTTTTGATTGCAAAGGTTAGGTTTGTGAACATGGATTGCGACGGCTTCCGCAATGTGCAAAAGGCGCACTCGTAAACCATGTAGCAAATTTGATGGGATATTGTAGATAACCTTAAAAGCTCTATTCAATTCAACTTGATGACCTGTGTCAACCAAGTGAGAATCACTTTTACCTGTCTTTTGTTTAATCACAACGGATGACGTTCTGCAATACGATAACGAACTTGCCGAATTGTACGCCCTATATAACTGCTCCACAGGAACAGTTGAGCCGACAGATGCACATGGACTTGGCGAATTCAGGCAGTCTGTCTTTATTGGTCGTTCTTATTTTGGGGTGGTTGTAGAAGATAACATTTAATCTGGCTGCACTAAATGATTTTTGTTCAGCTCTTCTTAGTTTCTGAATCGGTCACAATGGCGTCGGTGTATACACTCCCTATCTTCCCTTGAACTAAGAGATTAAAATCGCTTCATATCTTTCTACGAACCAATTCTTTCTTCTTGTACTATATCTCTATATGCAATCTTTCTCTTATATATTACCACCTTTTACCTAACCACTGTTATGAATCCGGTGTTCATCTTGTTGTGCTGATGCGGTATGGCAACCTGGACCGATGCACATATGCGCCTGGTCCTACGTTGTAGCTGACTGACTGAGTTTCTAAGACACAATTTCTTTAGTGGTGTCATTTATGAACAGTACTATGAAAGTATCGTCTATATAGTGATAATAAATTGGTCAATGACTAATTGTGCTTTTAAGCGGATATTTTCCCTGAAAAACTAGAAAATTTTGTTTTTATTTTTGAACTTCATATTTCCTCAACATTCATCTTTTGATTCTTACGTAACCATTATAAAATTCTATTCCTTCTCTTTTTCATATATTACGCAACGTAGCAACTTCTTGATTTAATAATTACTTTGAATATTAATAATCCTCTTTCTTCCAATTACTCAATGTTAATTTTAATGTCATTATGTAATTATTACATGACGTATCCACTCGATGAGTATTATATCATTATTGTCAATCATATATATATATATATATTCAAACGAACAGGTCACTCGTTGATGCCTATAATCTATGAACGTTACAAAATTAAACAACAATATCACCATTTTTTCAGAATTATACTGCTGCAGGAAAACTAAGGTTATGTACAATAAATTTTCTAAGTAATTGAGCAGGTCACACACAAGTTGTACTTGTTACTAAATACAAATAAATCTGTATACTGAGAGTTAGTGAATGAAATTAGGCCTTCATAATAATTCTGAACTTCGAAATTGTAGATCCGAATTTTTAGCAAATTTACCGTCATTGCTTAGCTTTTTCATTTGATGAACAACTTAAATCTATCAACTTATGAATTCATAAGAATTCCAAGCGAAAAGTTTCATTCGTCAGAAAACCTGAAATGCTAGAAAACTAATCTTTTGTAAATATTTAATAAAAGCCTAATACAACTCATCAACAGGATCAGTTCCAAACAAATAGCTCCAAGAAGGGGGAAGAGACCATTGAAAACTTGTGTTTGTAACTCCGTGTTGTGCTTTGAATTGTAACCACTTATTCAAATGTTGCACAACATAAAGTGCATCGCCACTGTTATCGCCTTCAGATGTAAAAAGATTTAACAGACAAGCAGATATCCCTTCATGTTTGAGTAATTCTTCAAATAAATAACTTGCAATTCCACACCCAGGTAAATAATAAACAACAGATAATTTACAATCTAGGTGATCACTGTACGTCTTAAGGGGATACCAATCCAATTCATCAAAGCGTTTACGATCAGAAGCGCAAAATGACGACGACAAAGCATACTGCAGTGGTGCTGAGTTTAGCTCCTCATCCTGTAAAATGAACGGGAGGAGTGAAATAGATGAGTGGCATACAAGACTATAGAATTATGGGTGATTGTGTTAAATCTGTTGTAAGAAAGGATTACAGATAGTCATTTTATAAAAATAATTCTCATCGAAGCTAAAAGTAACTGAAGCAAGGGAAAGAGACTTGCTGAGATGGAGTAGTCCCAGTTTTCTGGAAGGATGGTGTCCACCGTTTATTAATTATTTTGGTTGAGCGTGTTTTTATCAGATAACTACAGAGAAATAAACTCTTCAAGATAGCAACTTTTATCATTAAAATTGTAGTGCCGGTTATTTTAAGCCCATATACCTTATTCTAGCTTTCGGACAGGCCAGTCTACTCATTCTACTTGGGTCACATTTTGACCTTGATAATAATTCGCTTGTCAATCTTGACTGCTTTTATATGAGCGTATAGTATATGTGCGCCCCCTTCTTATCCCATTCATCACATGTCTGTTACTTAATTTTGTGTGACTATAAATATTGATTAACGCTTGACTAAATGGAGTTGGCTTACATGCCTTCTCTAATGTGCGTCGTTTCACTTCGCTTCACCGATATTTTGTCTGGATCAAAGATCGTATGAAATATACACATTCAAAATCTATTCTCGTATTTGGTTTATTTAATCCCGTTATTGACTAACATGATTATATACGAGGAAAGACGACATATATATATTTCAATAGCAATCATTCATACAATCTACTTGGAGTCATATCCCGGGACACTAAAAAATAATAGAAATTCTTGTATTGTGAATTAGAATGTACATAAACGAGCAATATTCCTTTCAATTGTCGGGCTTCACTATAATGTATAAGAATATTTGTATGGACATATGAAATTCACAAACAGTTTATGAGTCAGCGATAACTGGTGTACTAGTTGTGATACCAATAAGAAAGGGTTCAGTCAGTGTTCTATAGTAGGAAGTAGGTCAATGATATTAAAATAGTATTTACTACTAACTATAAAATTACTTAGTGTTTAGATAATTAGACAATGAAGTGTTCATTTAACAAAAGTAAACGAACAAAAAGTATGGGAAATAATAAATAAAATCGTTTGTCAAGGCTTGTTCTATGAGGGAAGAGATAAGGGCATGAAAAAGTCTTCGTAAATACACAGGTTGTTCGGATCCCCGTAGCTTCTGTCAAGTGTAAGAGACAAGATCAAATCTAATAAGGAAAAGTAGTGGATATACGATTAACTACTTAAAATGATTTGTTTTTATCTACTACATGACTGCTATCGACCTACTGTGACAGAAAGATGTACGTTATCTTGATCAAACTCTTTAACCAACCCCGAAAGGTGCTCACTGACTCGGCTTAGTTATGTGACTGTACGCTCAATGTAGCAGTTGATATCGTAGACACACATTGATGTGGAAAAACCAGATAATTTATCCTTCGGTTGAAGAATTACCGTATGTCGACTTTTGCTGCTGTCACACTTAATTTGTGAACAGGAAACCGGGAAGATCAAGCATGTTTTAAAATTGATGTATCATACTGACCGTTTTCCCCTCAAGTTGTGTGTAGAAAGGAATATCGACATCTAATTGTAATCATACGTGTGAAAATGACACTTGAACCTACAGGCTGAGGTTGTGATAGACTTGTTGAAAGGAGCAGGAAAAGAACAATATATGTTACGATGAATGTTTACATGAAATAACTGTACTAAGTAACTATAAGATTTTGTGCTGAAAATGTTCTCAGAAACAACACTTTCTTCCTTTGGATGTATGGCGATTCACTAGATTTAGAGAAACCTTATTAACCTGAAGTTTACAGATATCATAGTGTAGTTTAGCATGTACCCAGAAAAACTGTCTTCAGAGATAGCGTCAATTTTTGGAATGTATTAAGCTTCATGTTGCAAATGCCTGACTGCATGTACGGGGCTAGTGTGTGATTGAAATGCTCAAATAAAGACTGTTGGGGTCAACGCACATAACAGTTGGTTTAATATACTAGTCATTACTCGAAAACACTAGACACACGAGGAAAACCATATCACGCTACTTTAATAAGTTTCTAGCTTACGTTTTTAAATACGAGTAAACACCAACTGTCAAGAATGTTCAGCAATCGATAGGATTTGGATAGAAAATAGTCAACTTACTTTAAGAATAGTCGCAAAGCTACTTGAAAGTAAAACCACAGTTTTAAACTTCATAGATTTCAGGAAGGTCACAAGCTCCTTGACATGCTTTCGTTTGGAACCGGTGAAGGGAGGCGCTCGAATTTGTAACACAGCTAGCTGAAGTTCGGGATTAGCATAAATCTTCAAAAAAGAAGAACAAATAGTTTTCATTTAAGGTAAAGTATCCAGATTAAGGAATCGCAAACGCAAAGTTTTAAGGTGTTTACGTAAATTGAAGAATTCTTTACTGACCCTTGCTATGGTAAGGGTACAGATAAGCGGGGGCCTAAATTGATGTACGACCCATGAGTCGTCATTTTCCGGGAAAATATAACATTGGTGTGACGAATTTCACGACCTAGAGAAGTCTCGATATATAAAAACAAAATGGATGCACTAGTGGAGTAGCCAAAGATTATTTAATGGTGAAAGTTCTTATTTTTCAAAGATTACATTCTTCGCTTTGAAAATAATTTAAAACATTTCTAAAGGGGTACGAACACATAAGATCTTAAGAAAAACCATATCTTGGAAAAATAAAGATATACGCATTAGTAATATGTCTCATAAGCTTTGAAATTAATTAATTATGGATCTGTCATATTAGTCTTTGTAACATGGGCTAGATTAAAACAGGATGTGAAATTACCAAATGTTTAGGATAGGATGCTTTATATTGTTAAACAAACTAAGGTGAAACTGTGATCATTAAGAAGTCAACAACATACGTGAGGTGTTGTGTGTATCGTCTATATAGGCCGTCCATTACAAAAGTAGTGACCAACCTTATTAACTGAACACCTTAGATATAGTTTGTTTCAGGATAATAATTGACAAAAAGCAGGTGATGCTAATAAAACGACTGAATGAGAGCTAGTATTCTTATTTGGCTGTGACGTAAAAAGCAAGATCGGAACTTCCAATTATGAACTAATTTCTTAGCCTTTCGGAGTAAGTCATGGAAGAATACACGAACCCATAAACAACCATCTATTCAATAACTGTAAAGTTTTTTAACCACAACATGGATTTCTCTTACATAGATCAGGTGATACAGGCCTATTAAGTGTTTAGAATAGATGGACCCTCTCATTGGAGTAAATTCAATCTATGCACATGGCCTTACTAATTTTTATGGATATTCAATAAAGTTAATTATCGAATCGCTCACCTGAAACCGGGATTAGCGGCAACTATCGGGTGCTTAGTGACTTTCAGATTACTTATAGTTGAGATCGTTAGCTGTCAGAGTTTGCTTTGTCATATCTAACTAGTTTCAAATGACGAGTGAAGTACCGCAGAGTGAAATCCCAAGGATTATGCTCCTATTGTTTAAAGATTTTCCTATCACTACACGCCCTTAGAATCTATTATATGGAGATGATTTTAGAACTTGATATTTTATTTCATTACAAAAACTTAAATAGGTTATGTGACTATGCCAATAGGAACTATCCTTTCAGTAGCAGCAAATGAAGGGTGATAATGGTGAATAGTAGTGGAACTGTACCGGTCACGTACTTTCATGTTGATTCTAGTACCACACATTTTACTTCAAAAATACCTGTTTCTTCTCATTGGGATTCTGCAGCAAAATTGAATACTATCTTTGATTTTCTTTATAGACTAACTTCGGGATAATTTAAAACCTTTTTTATTGTTTACTTAGGACCTTATTTGCAGAACGGTTTTTGGATCATTTATCGTTAACCTATCATCCTCTTGGAATGTGCTCAAAAAAGGGTAATCAAAAACGTATGCGAACCAAAGAAATAAACTGCTCGGATGGTAGCTTTAAGTTTTCAGTCTGTGCAGTACAGAAGGATTCAGGGGGAAAAATCACTGTCGCTCATGATCCCTCTAACCATAACAGACCACTACGAAGTTTAAATACTAAACTTAAAAGTGTATTCATTTTGGAAATACAAATTGACACAAAAGACCTGTACGGACATTTTTGTAGCTAAAATCAGTAGATTGTGGAGATCTTAACCAGATACAATGTTAAAGACACCTTCCAGAGTCCTTCGAAGGGAGGCTCGAGGTTCACATGAGCTGAGGTCATGAGGGTGATCAGTCCCGCTATTATTAACTAACTTGCTTTGCCCTTCAGTTGTACAAGGAATATATATACTTTTCCGTGATCAAGAATGATCTTTGAGTACCCAGACGCAGATCATGAAGGACAAATTATTCACTGATTCCTCCTAACAGTTCAAGGTTTGAGCTGCTTAGTCAGCTTAAAATCTTATAAACTGTGTTCATTATGACATAGAATAGTTGAAGTTAGATCGACTATGAATTTAGTACATAAAGATTACCGTAAAACTTGTATATACCATATGACACTCAGAAAAAATATATATACCTGTGAAGTTGTCATCAAATCATGAACATCTCCAGGCAATCGGTAAGGATTGATACCGACTACGGATGGGCAGTACTCAAAATTTAAACTACTAATAGCATCACAACCTAAGTTATAGATTAAAAGATCACATGCAAGTTGGGCTACATTGCCGACACCGACACAAGCAACAATAAGGTTATATGAAGAAAAATGATTACAATCAAGAGCGGGGAATGAAGTATCACAGTGAGATGACATGCGGGACGGTAGCTAGCAAAGGTCTACCTTAGATATTTCAGTTTGGATTTTTTCTGTTAGGGATTATAACCACTAGGGATGTAATGAACTGAAGACAGTTGAAACACAGAAGAGTAGAACAGGTGACGACTTCTATTTGTGTAACAAACGACTGCCAGAATAAAAAGAATGTGACACCTAAAGCCGAAGGAATGTAAAACACAAGGCTGGAAATATACGCCGGTTTGGAAATACCGTTAGGGTCAGATATCAAAGAACCGAAAAAATGTTTTGCGATTTCTGAGACAAACCAACCAAACAATATAAACAACTCCTCTACACAGGCACTTGATCCGAAATGAAGGTAATAAGATTTGTATACATACAACAGAACTTCAAGAACAAAAAAAGAAAACACTAAGTATTGCCCACACTTATTAAGTAAAACATGTACGGCTGAGACGAGTAGCATGTTCAAATGATTCAAACAAGCGTTCAGTTACTGATTGTATGTTTGATTAAAATTGAATGTAAATAATGGCAAGTTTCTTTCCAGGCTGCTTCTATTTGAGTACGATGTCAGCAGTGTTGCTATGGTAGCAAAACTGGCACGTTTTCAAATCTGAGATTGTGAGTTTATTATTTCATTTTAATGTACATCGTAAAATTATTATTTGACATTTTCCGCGAAGATGAATACAACAATAAAACTAACGGCATCATGTCTTGTTCTGCCTCAACATATTTCTCTATATCTTTCCTTACCTTCACGTAAATCGACTACATCAATGTAGTAAACAATTACTCGAAACAAAAAGTAGAGCAAAGATGGAGTTAGAGTAGAGCTACTCAATTTGATCTTATTGGTTTATACCATATGAAGTGGTCAAACAGTTTAAGTAAACGGGTTGTATGATCTGTTTTTTTTCTCGAAATCAAACACTAACAGTCTTCAGTAATAAGGATAGTAGGTTGATGAACCTGTGTTAATCCTGACACAATGAGTATGTCAATAACAAAACTGTCAAGAACTACAAAGCGAGTTACTCATAAGACGATAACAGAGCTTTTGCCAAGCAGAATACATGGTTTTTAGATTCTGATTTGTGTAGTAAGAAGTGAAGGCCTATGTTAGTATTTTTCTGGTTAGCTTCACCGAGTGTCTGGTCTTCTCTTAAACCAGTCAATTGAGCGTGCGGACACCAGTGCTTCGGATAACAGGTTCCAAGAATTGATGGCTTGGTGTGAAAACCTGTATGCCACGGGTGTTTTTTTCCTTCTTGGCTTTTCTACTCATTTGCTAAATCCTCTGAGATATTCCGATCTAGTGGGAAGAAAAAGAAAAGATATATCGTATCCGAAGTCATTTCTTAGTATTCTGTACATCAAAATCAGATTAAATCTTAATCTGCGATAAGACAAATTAAAGAGGTCTAGCTTTTCAAACCACCTTTTGTACAATAAACCCCTGAAAATGTCACAGGTATTCAGAGTTTGACAACATTTCAACCAGTAACAACTCATATAAAGCGTACCCAACAAGTGAAATCAAAAGGTAAGAGCGAGGAAGTCTGAAGACATATTTAATAGGCTATCAATATATCGCGGATCGGCAGATTTAGACTGGCTAGCGATTGTAGGGGATGTATGACCGAACGCCTTCAGCTAGATGAGTACACCAAAACCGTTGTGGTCAGCATCCAATGTCGACGACTTACAGAGCTATTTGTTTTGGGCATTTAATTACCGCTAAACCCCTGAGTTCTGTAATTGCACCAGTAGCTTCCTTTTAAGATTTTTCCAACATATCCGAGTCGCCTTTTGAACGAAGACATGCGGCCTGGATCTCACTAGTTTGGTGATTACTGTGGTGAACACATTAGTAACTAACTTAGTAAATGTCCGTCTTTAAGCCTGTAATGTTCTAAACTTTTTAGCTGTGACTTGATGATGGTTGTCTGTGCTTTTAAGATCGCGGCTTACCTTCACCTCAAGATCCTTGTCAGACTGAACTATAGGCACTGACGTTTCTACTGCGCTGTACATATATATCGTTGTATCCACAAATATACATGTAGACACACCTAGCCCCGTTGACAGGCATCAGCCATTTCTTAGGTAATTAGAACATTCAAGTCTGCCTGAAAAACATGCGCATCTGTGTTTCTTGCTATTTCACGCCAGATTTTTACATCATCAGCATGTAATAGAACTGGAGGCCTAACTGTATATACAATATAAAATATAAAAGACATACGACAAAGTCTTGCGGCACCCCACTAAGTACTGGTTTCCAGGAGGAGCATTTGTAAATTATTCCTACTTTATGTCTGCGACCTACTACAAAATCCTTGATCCAATGGAGAAGTTCGAAATTTTTCATATTTTCTAGCTTTAAGAGTAGTCTACTTCACATTGAAGTTTATATAGGCAACATCCACTGGTTTTTCACTATGTAGAGGCACCCTTACTATGAGAAGGTTTGTTGTGTAAGATAATCCTTCTCAAAAACTACGGTATTCGTTATTCAACAAGTTATTGATCTGTACGAATGTTGTTTTAGCGTTTTAGATTATTCTCTACAATATTTTAAGTACAACACTGCCGACAAGTCAGCAGTTTGATAGAAGTTGTCTTGTTCCTGTCTTATGTATTGGACTGACGATTGCATCATTCCAGTCCGTGGGTAACTCACCTTGTCTAAGTTGCAGATTTAATATTGTAGCCAATGGAGTGACAATGTATAGTATAATCGACCTTAAAATTTTAACATGTGGTCCATCTGGTCTTGTTGAGCTTTCTGCTTATAGGGTGCTCAGAGCCTTTAGTACTCCATCCCGATCGAAATTCACAATAAGTAACGGATTTCGTCATCTTTTATTTGAGTCTAGTCCTTCGTCTAAAGGAGCCTCCTGAGTGAAAACTATCTCTAAGTAGTTGGCAATGTCCTCTGCATTGTCATCGTTTTTCTCTGTAACCTAAGATTTACTTCAGTCGGTAGTTGGATTGAAGGTTTAATGATGCGCTTTCATTTTGTAATTTATGTACGAGACCAGTCTCTTGGGATGATTGATTACATATTGCGTTAACTGGTTCTCATATTTTCTCTGAGATACCCGTATTCTAATTACATACTAATTTCGCAATTAGCTGTAGCATCCAATTTTATTTGTTGTTTCGAGGCTGATGGCTACCCTACAACACTTTCTTTGTTTTGGTGGATGTCAAATCTTCCGGTTTATCCAGTAATGCCTGTTTTTTCTTCTCTGGAACTGTCCGGTAAATAAATGGTTGAGCTACTTGATTATACGACTGCCGGAATTGAGTTCATCCCTCGTCTACTGATGCATCGGAGTTAATTTTCAAGCTTTCAGTCGAGGCTGCAGAGATAGTCGTCTTTATGTTTGCTTTCCATGAGCTAGGACGGGTTGGCGCAGCAGCTTGACAAACCATATCAACCATGAACTTGGACGTGATGACCACATGATCATTGATGGCTGAGGTATGCTACAACCGATTGAACATCTTGCCCTTTATATTTTTGAAGGCAGATCACCAGTTGTCATATCCTGGAGTCGTGTACCACTATCTTCGTAGCTCGTACTGTTAGGACGCTTTTCATGAACAGGATAATCTCAGTAACCCTACAGTTTATTCTGTCAGCCCTACAAAGTAAGAAACCAAGAGATTAATATCTACTCTCATACCTATCTGACACTAATCATGTTTATGAAACAGAAATAACACCAGGAGTTTCTGTATCCATCACGTATTTGGGTTCCTCCATCATATTTAGCAGGCAATTGCATGACATACCTTTAATATGGTGACAAACGCCTTCGTTCCACTGAGTAGTTTAGGTTCGCTTTGCGTGAAAACCCTTAAGTATGAGGTTTTTAACCGTTTCGGTGGCGCTCATGTATTTATGCTTTTTCTGATAGTCTACTAATATGATTAACCAGGCTGAGATCCTTACGAACATATATTCCGAATTCAGCCAGTTCGCGTCAATTTTCCAATATTAAGCTCCTTTTTTCAGCAGAAGTAGTGTAGTGAAGGAGAACACAGGTGAGGACAACCAAATTGTATTTAGCTCAAATTACAGAGTTACTTGGTAAAATAGAAAAACCACTGTGGGATCAGCTTTCCCGAACCTGCTCCCCCTGCTATGTTACTTCTCCGTTCTCTACACTTGACTAGGTCTTCCACTGCAAAGGGTTTCCACGTTCTCCTTTGTTGTTCCGCCTTCTTTATGTCTGATATCTGTTTCTTTTCCACGTTTCTTATTGCCTCCCTCCTCTCTTTTCTTAACCTTGTTGTCGTCCATTTTTGTTGTTATGGCCAGGTCTTATTATGCATTGGAAGTCGTGGCTGTCTGCCATACATGAGTAAGAAAGGTAACTTCTTGGTTGTTCCTTGTGTAGAGGAACGATGCGCCAGCAAAATCAATGGTAATTCTTTCTCCCAATTTCCTCCTTTAGATGCTAACCATTCCTTTAACGTCCGATTGTTTCTCTCTGTAAGCCCGTTTGTCTGAGGATGATACGGTGTGGTTCGTATTCGCTTGATTCCAAACTGCTTTAAACGGGCTTTAAACTCGTCACTTTCAAAACAGGGACCCTGGTCAGTTAATATCATCTTCGGTATTCCGTGACATGCTACAATATGCCGGATTACCACTTCGGTCACTGTCCTTGCCCGTTGGTCTGCAATGGGTACAGCATCTACCCAACGTGTAGCATGTTCCGTCATTACTAGCAGGTACTGGTTACCGCTCGCCGTCTGTGGAAACGGTCCCATCACATCCACCGACCATAGATCACCGACTGCGGTTACTGGGATTGACTGTAATGGCGGTTGTGTGTATCGGTCGCTTTTCATTAGCTGACACTGCTGGCAAGTTAACACGTATTCAGCCACATCGTCTCTCATGCCCGGCCAGTATGCACTCTGTCGTAGTAGATCCGTCGTTCTTGCGATTCCTGTATGCGCTACCTGGTGACACTCGTGTATCGAATTAGGTACTGCAATATTTTTTATGGTAAGAATTTTTTCCGGTAATGGTTTTATTTCTCCATTTCCCACTTTATGTCCCAACAACGTGACGCTACTTTTCGCTATCTGCGACTTGTCCTTATTAATCCGAAGTCCGAATTTGTCAATTCGCTTTAAGACCGCTTCCACATGCTTGACGTGATCTGTTTCTGTCTGACTGTACGCAACCACATCGTCGCCATATACCTCGACATTATCTAAATTCTAGAGCAGTAGTGTCATTAGTCTTCTGAATGTGAACGGCGCACCTGCCAACCCGAACAGCATTCGTTTAAATTGGTACTGTTTATCACGTACCGTAAACGCTGTCTTGTTTCGATCGCTCTGTTTTATAGGCAGTTGCCAATATCCTGACCGTAAATCCAGCACTGTAAACACCGTGGCATTCTGTAGCCGATCTAATGTTTCCACCACTGTTGGCATTGCACAAGGTTTCAGGTCTGTTATATTATTCAATTCTCTGAAGTCGACACAAAATCTATACTTTCCATTTGGTTTCTTTACTAAGAGTACCGGTGAGCTATATGGGCTGTCCGCTTCCTCAATTATACCTTCTTTCAACATTTCTTGGATCT